AGGCGACGAGGAATAACCGGGCACGCCGCAGTTTGTGTGGGAATGCGTTGCAGGGCATTGTAACGGATTTGTTTTGCAATCACAACTAAAGGCACAATTCAGGCAGAAGTCGCGTGAACGATTTCCTCTGATCTGTAGGATAGACTACTGAGGGACAATACACATGTGGCACTCCGTGCATGGAAATCACCGACAAGGGCGCTAGGGCTTGCAAAGTAAGCTGCAGCAGCTGCAATGTTTTCAGGCTGTTGTCTGGCGCCCTCTCATCTGTTGCGCTCTCTCGCCTCATACTCTCCTCTCCGCGCTCAGTCTCTCATTGCCTTAGCACAGCCGCATTACGAAGTGAGCAAGCCTTATCTAAGCGTTTCAACTTTTTTCTTAACTGCCGGTACACTTCGCGCCAATACCTTCGCATCCGTGTGCAAAAACCACACCAGTTTGATCCTGGTTCATGCCTTTACTTTGATAGGCCATACATCAACATAACCAAGAACCACGTGGCTTACAGAATGACCAAATATTCTTTAGTTTGGCAGAGGTTTTCCGGACCTTACGAAAATATCCGTTCAGTTCATTCCTCGTTTTCTTTTCATTAACGTAAACATGTTGATAAAAAGGAATAATAGAAGCGAATACAAACCTATTCGTATGGAAGATATGTGTTTTTACTGAAACAACCACGTCCACACTTCACCGCATCTAAGTATTGCGTATTTACAGCTCAAAATCCATGGATTTGGTGTGCGGCGGCGGCGCTCGCAAAATCGCTCTGGTCCCACGCGGTGCAAAAACCAAAACGCGCGATGTCGTCAACGTGTTAAACTCGCAAGATACTAGAGGGTATCCCATCTCATGATCAGTTTATCGCCAGCGCCGGCTGGCTCAGCTCCTGACAGCTATTGACAGTGGAGCTTTCATTGCACCGCGAGGTGTGGAGCTTGTACCAGACGCGATTACGATCGCCAAACGAGATCAAGTTTCGCGCATTTAGGCGCATCTACACCTCCCCCTCCCCTCTCCGCCCTGCTCGAAAGCTGTTGGTGGCAAAGGTAATGGTCGAGGGTGGAGAGGAGGAATTCATATGAGGACCTCTCTCCCTTAGGCATGGTGATGGGAAGAGTCGTAAGACCACTTGGAAGGGAGGGGGAGGGTCGTAAATTTCTTGAAAAGGTGGGAACGCGGCGATGGACCCTGCCTGGACTCCTCAAAACGACACCCCCAGATCAAAGTGCTGGGGTCACAGCGGTCAGTAATGGAGTTGTGGATGCCGAGTTGACTAAAAATGAAAAAAGAAGCAAAGAAAACCGTCGATGAAGCCATTAACAAGTATTCTCTTTTTTCATCTTAAAGCAACAGTCCCAGCAGGGTTTTTACCTTCGACACTAATGGTGTGGAACGATGCGCTAGCCCTAGTCAAGAATAAAAGTGTGACTGAACAAAAAAAAACTCACCTTGGAAAGCCGCTAGAAAGGGAGCTGAACAGCTTCGAAGTGGGCGTGGTTGCAATCGGCTGCAATCCCCGATTGACAACCACGCCCACTTCGAAGCTGTTCAGCTCCCTTTCTAGCGGCTTTCCAAGGTGAGTTTTTTGTTCAGTCACACTTTCTTATGTTCTTGACCTGGGCCAGCGCATAAAATAAGGAAGGGTCGGGGCCGCACGAGTTGTACGATTATGGTTGATCCATGGCTCCACTAACCCGCGCGTATTTGAATTAGCCGCTATGTTGTAATCTACGCTGCTAACAGGATGTGCGCGAGGTACCTCGTCCATAATTAGTCGCAATGAGTTCACTTTGTAGAGCCCTAATGCCCGCGCACTTTCGAGACGCGACAGC